CCTGGGGTTCCTGGCCCCGGTGCCAGCGGATTGGAGTGGAGTGAGACACCAGCCGGCCTGGGGGGAAAGGAGGCTATGGAGAGGGCAGCGGACAAGGACAGATGGGGTGGGGGTGTGGATTTTCCCTAGGACTGCCTCTTACCGGAGCGGTTGCGCTGGAACTCCTTGACAATCACCATATTTGTGAAGTAGGGGTTTGTCTGGAAGTACAGCTTCATCTTGTAGCCCATGGAGATATGTCTGAGATCTTGTACCTGCTCAGGGTAGAGGTTAACGTTGGAATTCCCACCACACCAAGGCCCCTCCCACCCCACCCACCTCACCTCCAAGGGCCAGATCCTTTGCCCAATCCTAGTAAAAAATGTATCTTTGGCCTGACCTGCAGGTTGGTCAAGTAGCGGAAAATGTCTTCATCGCGTCGGTTGATCAAGATTGAAATTTTGGGGTGGTTGAGGAACTGATGGAGGGAGCAGTTTAGGTCAAGGAGTGACTGTTCAATGAGAGAAGGAGGGAGGGAAGGCCAGGCAGGGCAGAGCAAAAGAGAGGCTGGAGCAGAATTCCCTCTGTGTTTATGTGATGTGTGTGGAGCAAGGAGACTTTTCTTCCCATGATACTATGTGGTGAGCCTGTGTTTATGTAATGTCAAACCTCTGTATTAGGTTGCCTTGCCTTGGTTCATATTTGCTGTGTGTCTGGGTGCTAAGGGTCTATGTCTCTGTGATGTTGAGTCCCTGGGTGCTGAGAGTTTGTATTCAGAAGACATTGTGTGTCTGGGGGCTAAAGGTCCATGCCCTAGTGATGTTGTATCTGGTTGCTGAGGGCCTGGAGTCACATGATGTTATTTGGGTGTTACAGGTCTGGGTCCACATACTGTGTATCTGGGTCTGAGGGTCTGTGTCCAAGTGATGCTGTGTCTGCATACTGAGGACCTGTGGCCACAAAATACTGTGTGCCTGAGTGCTGACAGCCTGTGATCATGTGATACTTTGTAGGAGAGTGGCAATGGTCTATATCCATGTAATTCCCCCAAGAAGTTAAGCCCCTGTGTTCCTAACATGTTGCATATATGTATGTATGTTCCCCAGAGATACGCTTTCCACCAATAGTGAATGAGATTCTTCTTACTCTATTTCCTCCATTTAACTCCTTGATCCCCAATTCTAGGTACTCCTTTGCCTGACCCTTTAGGGGCTGGAGCCCCTTTCTACCCCCCTTCTCTCCAGCCAGGATTGGGGTTTCCCTAGTATCTAAGCAGAGACCTAGCCTTGCAGAGCCAGGTGTGACTTAGGCACCGTTTCTGGGCAATTTCTCTGCTATGTGACCTTCTCCTCCCTCTTCACCATATCTGAGTCAGTTCATCTTCTGTGTGTCCCTTCCCTCCTCCTTTCACCATCTCTGGTCTAATTTTTCTGCTGTGTGCCCCTCTGTTACCCTCCCCATTTCACTGCCTGTGATCCATTTTTTTAATATTATGTTCCTCCTCTCCCCTCTTCCCCATCTGTGGCCCAGGTTTTATGCTGTGTGCCCCTCTCCCCCCTTCACCATCTCTATCTAGTCCAGCTTCTCTGATGTTTTGCCCCTCTCCTTCCATTCCTCCTCCACCAAACCCAGTCATTTTTCCAATAAGGGTCCACCCCCACACCCTTCCCCCTCCACCTCCCCCCCCATTTTGTCATGGGCTCCTAGCCCATGAATATAGATGACAAGGATACTGCTTTGACCCAGAAGCCTGGGATATGCTGGATGATGAGGTCTCTGCGCTCCAGGAAGGGTCTTCGCATCTGGATGAACTTGCGCTTCAGACGGAGGAAGGCCTTGCCTGCCTTGATGTTCACTGCCTCCAGGTCCAGTTGAATGTTTTCCAGTGCCTGCAGGATGCACTCTATCTTCTCGGCATTCCTCTCCTTGCTTTCCTTCTTCATCTTCCTCTGCTTCCTCTTCCTCCTCCTCCTCCTCTTCCTCACACTCTCCTTTTCATCCTCGTCGTCATCTTCCACTATGATGATAGCCTCTTCCTTCCCCCTCGGGCCGGCTAACCTCTGGTACCCCCACTCCCCTGCGCTACAGGTTTCTAGGGCCTTCTCTCCGGCAAAACTGCTGGGCTCTATAACCTGAAAGTCAATTTCCAGACTTCCCCCAGAAGCCTCCGAAGGAGAGAAGGTTTCTAGGCCCTCCGTGGGAGGGGGCGCCCCCCCATACCCTGACTCCATCGCAGGCTCCCAGCCGGGACTCCCAGCACCCAGGGTGAAGTACGCACGGATCCCCCCCTCCTCCAGAATGACATAGGGCGGCGGCGGGGGCAGAGCGGGGCCCAGTCCCACCCCCCTCATGTCAGCCAGCACCTGTGCCGCCTCGGTTTCCTCCCGGAGCCTCGGGCGCTGCTCGGGTGGAGGTAGGGGCAGTCGCAGGAGCGGCGGCGGAGGCGGCGGAGGCGGCGGTGGCAGCTGGTCGTGCTGAGAGGGCTCTGAGCTACTCAGGCGGCGGGCCTTGGCCGGAGGCCCCTCATCCTGGCGGTCCATGGTGACCGCGCTCACAGGTCAGGGGCTCGCACTCGCCCCTTCACTCTCAGCCAGGCCGCCGCTGCTTCTCACACCTGAAGCTGAGCCGCAGCACCTCACCCGACCAGCTCTCCTCACAGCCTCGCTCTGGCGTTCCCTCCCACAGCGCCTGCCCTACTCCCTCCGCGCCAAGCGTCCAGGACCCGCCCCCTCCCTGACGCAAAGGGCCCGTTCTGTCTCTCCATTGGCTGCCAGCCTCCGCCGAGGCGCTCGCACTCCCTCGACCTCTGCCCGCTCTCACGCAATCTGCTTGCCAACACCACACCTCATCGCTTTCCGATTGGCTCCTCTCGGACCCGCCAATCATCGGGCTGGCTCCCCCAGCGACGAGAGGGACACTGCAGGGCGATTGGCTGCAAGGAAAGCTGAGGGGAAAAAGCCCCTCTCCCTCACCCTTCCAGCGTTTTATCCAATGGGAAAAGTACCAGTGGCTCTGAAGACCAAAAAACAAAACAAAAAACAAACACAGGCTTTGAGCAGGATGTGCTCAAATAAAATTGGGAGAGCCTCAGTGTCGTTTTCCCCCTTCTCTGCCCTCCCCTCAACAACTACGCACTTCTTAAATCTGCCCTTTCTCCTCTTCCCGGCGTTTGTCCCTGTGGCGAACCGTGATGTGGCCCCCGGGGCTAGGGTTGCCCTAAAGGAGCCTGGAATTTAGAAACCTAGGACCTTTCATTTGGGGCCAGAGTTTGACGTGGCGTTTTGCATCTCTGCAAAATGACTCTAGAAGTAATCACACACACGAGAGTAACTTCCTCTGCGTCATTAAAATGATTGTGATTCCGTTCGTCCACCAGATTTTTCTAGGGTTTTCTATCTCTTCGTCCACTCGATACTTGCCCTCCTTCCAAACCTTTCCTCAGTGTATGCCGTTTTTAATTGTATTTTAGATTTTGGGGGGCCAGATTGATGGTCTTTCCTGATGCATGGTGGTGGGGTTCTGGCTTTGGTCTGGGATTCACATCACGGGTGTGCTCCTCACTTTGTAGCCCTAACCAAATCACTGCCTCTGAGTTTCAGTTTTCTCTCCTCTAAATTAGGCATCCTTAAGACATGTAGGAAACTGCCCATTGCAGCCTTTCTGTGGCAGCAGGAAATTGGAGGCAACCTAGAGACCCATCACCAGGGGAATGGATAAGAAAAATGTGATATATGTAGAAGATGGACCACTAGAATGAATTAGATCTACGTACAGCAACAAGGCTGAATCTCTCAAAAACAGAATGTTGAGTGAAAAAAGAAACAGAACAAGATTTATAGTACAATACTGTTTATGTAAATCAAAACACATAACAATACCATATATTTTTCACAGATACACATATATGTAAATAAACACATGAACGGTGAATTGGAAGGACATACATTAAATACACGAGAGTGGGTGCCTATGTGGGAGGGGGTATTGGATCAGGGATGGGTGATGAAGGGGAAGAAACAAAAAAAAAACAAAGAATAAAAGGGACTCGCATGGGCCAACGATGATGTAGTGTGCCAAGAACTGAGGAGTATGGTCAACTCAATTCTGTGCACCTGAGAGAATAAGTAAATAAATAGTAAATTGAGTGCCCAGGGAGCAGGCTAGCTGGGTAGACGCCCAGGCTTAGGTTTAACCACCCTGTAACATCCCTCCTCTGAATTTAGTCAAAGCTTACCAAAGTCCCAGCGGTATACAGTGGACTCTTCAGAAGGGCTCCCATCCCCGACTGACCAGCCCCTCCAGAAGCCATTACTTTGTAGGGGGCAATTTCTAGCCCCGTTAGCTCCCCATTCAGGTTTGATCCCCAATTCCCTGTCCCTATTCTCCAAAGTGGTCCACTTTCAGGAACACCTTGTTTGCATTTTGGAGAGGAGAGTGATACAGGAGTTGGAATGGTACCCAGGGGCTCCAGGCTTTGGGAAGAGATGGGGTTCTCAAGTATCCTGTCCCCCCATGTTGAGAGCCTGGGTCAAAGGAAGAAGATTTTTAGGAGATGGGAGTCTACCCTCTTGCTGCATACATACGTATGGTTTTAAAATTCTTTTCTCCGACCACTCTACTTCCTACTGCAGGCACATAACTCTAGTTTGTCTCCTTTCAATTAGGTGCATACATATGTACGTGTGTGTGTGCGCCATATGTCTCCACATACAGGCATTTGCTCACGTGTGTGCACCAGGCAGTGGTGCCTCCCCACACAAAGTCAAACAGACACAGTCCCACTTGACCATATCTCCCCACATGTGGTCATGCAGACAGGACACACACACACACACACACACACACACACACACACACACACAGAGTCAGAAAGAGAAAACATCCAATATAGCATTGTTCTTTTCAGTTTTCCATTTACAAAATCCAATGGTGAATCCAGGCAGTTAGAAAAAAGAAATGGAGGAAAACCCTCCAGAATGTACCCTACCTACTCCCACCCCTGTGGTTCCCCCCACCCCATTCCCTGGGAAAGGCACCCCCATCACTATTACTGAGAGAACAGGTACCCTCCACCCCAGCCTCTCAGCCACTCTGGCCTGCCTTTCCAGGACCACTCCACAGCCAGGCTCATTCATGTCTCTCCTGCCTAGAGTGCCCTCCCCATTCCTCTTGGGTCAAGGCTTCCCCAGTTCCGGGGCTGTCGTGGGGGTAGGGAGGGAGCTTAGGACAACGGCTTCTATCAGGAAGGGGAAGGGGGTAGATAAATACAGATCTCCCCCTCCCTCAGGAAACAAGAGGGGAACAAAGAATCCGGGCAAGGCCAGGCAAAGGAATGCCAGCTTGGCTCACCAGTCCATAAGAACTGGCAGTGATGTGAGCCCAGAGTGGACTCTGCCCTGGGAGGGAGGCTTGCGCTCTCCCACCTGGAGAATCTGGCTGCAGTCTGCTCCACTTTGGGTGGAGGGAGGAAGGGGGAGAAGGGCTGTTCAGGGGAAGGAAGTTGGGGGCTGAGGGCCCAGAAGGCCAAGGGCTACTAAGAGGGGCTTGAGGCCCCTGAGGCTTGAAGGGGACAAAAAGAGGTCAGATAGGAATGGACTCAAGTCCACAGTGCCTTGGAGCTTAAACCACTATGTGTTATACCAAGGCCACCCCCCAACTTTTCATCCTCAGGAGAATAGTGTGAACCCAGGAGACAATTCTGGGGTTGAGTTCTGCTCTGACCCCAGGTGCTGGGATCCAGTTACTCTGGGGAGTTTGGCTCTCTCCCTACACTTCCCTGGGGGAATGCTCCTGCCTGTATGGCACCCACATCAGCCCTAGTGGGGCTGGAGTGGATTTCCATCCTCAGGAAGAAGAGTTGGGGGCTGGGGATCCAGGGGGCAGCTCGAAAGAATGCAGCTAAGCTCGGGTCTCTTCAGCTTGAGGCGTGCAGCTCACATCCCGTTCTTCACCTAGCCTGGGCCCATCCCAGGGGTCCTTCTCCCTCCCCTCCTGGCTTCTTGAACAGATGCTCAAGAAACACTTGGGAGGTCTGGATATGGTGGGGAGGGAGAGGAAACCAGGCTTGGGACCAGGGTTAGCTTAAAACAACATTGCACACAACATAGCAATTAAACGTCTCTGCTCCCTGGGGACCCAGCACCCCCTTTGGTCCCAGTTGTCAGCAGATGAATTTCTCCCTAAACACCCAGCCCTTGCTAAAGAACTCGGAAGGCGAGGGTGCATGGGAGCAGAGGGGGCAATAAGAGCTCTGGAAGTCTATTTTACAGGACAAATTTCCCACTTCTGGACTATGTCAGAAGGAGAGACATTAAAGCAAGAAAGCCTGTCTCCTCAGCTGCTAGTAGAAAAACCTGCATTTTCAGTCTTAGTTTCTTTTTCTGAATTGTCACTTCTGAGAGAGAGAGAGAGGATGAAAGAGAGAGAAAGAAAGAGAGAGAGAGGAAAGGAGAGAGATTGTAGAAGTGGAGAAGGAGGCAGCGGAGACAGGCCCCACAGAATTAGAAATGCCTCTTTCCCAGTCCCCCACCCCAGTCTCCAACCCTGGGGAGGTGTTGGCAAAGGTGCCTTGATTCCGGGTGGTTCAAGGGGCTAGGGCTGGAGCTCAGAAAGAAAGGCTCCTGTATGGGGCCCACCCTTCCCTTACAGCTGGCCCCATCATGGTAGCCATGACCTTCTCCCTGCCTGTCTGCCTACCAGCTTGCTTCACATGACACAGTAGGGTTCTCTGGGAGCCGGGGCACCTCCTGTGCCCCAGCAGGGGGCGTGAGTCCTCAGGCACTTCTTGAGGTCCTTGTTGAGCAGGAAGCAGACGATCGGGTTGACAGCAGCCTGGGCGAAGCTCATCCAAACAGCGGTGGCCAGGTAACGGTGGGGCACAGCACAGGCTTTCACAAACACTCGCCAGTAGCAGGCCACGATGTAGGGTGACCAGAGGAGCAAGAAGAGCAGTGTGATCGCGTAGAACATACGGCCCAGCTGCTTTTCACCCTTGACCTCGTCCATGCCCAGCAGCCGCCGGCTGGCTGCGTGCCCATTCTGCCTGATACCCAGCAGTGTTGGTGGCATGGGCCCACGGCCAAAGCCAGCGATCCAGTTGGCAGCAGCCTGGCCGGTGGCCCCAGGGCCATGGAATGTCCAGTTCTGGCTGATGGCAGGCACCATCTGCACTGGCTTCATCTTGCGGTGACGATACTCGAAGAGGAGCAGCTTGCCATAGACAGCGTGTGTAGCTGCCATGAGCACAGCCAACATAAGCATGAAGCCCAGCGTGTCATTGGCCTTGAAGTAGCGATGCTCAAAGATGCACTGGTCCTCCTCGCGGATAAACTTGTAGGTGCCCACATCAAAGACAGGTGGGAAGGCCATGGCCACAGACAGGGTCCAGGCCATGCAGATGACAGCTGCACATGTCCAGAGTGTCATGCGCTTGGCATAGAAGCGGTGGTGGGCGATGGCCATGTAGCGGGTGACGCTGATGCAGAACAGCATGAAGGCCGCATGGAAGCAAAAGAGCACGGCCATAAAGGCCACAATCTTGCAGCTGAGCGCACTGAAGGTCCATGAGGAGCCATGGCGCACAGAAGCCAGCACAAAGGGGAAGCAGACGGCAGAGCGTATGCCGTCGGCCAGGCACAGGTCCAGCAAAAAGTAATAAGGAGCCTTGTGCAGGGCACGCTCCTTGAGCACCAGCAGGGACAAGATGGCGTTGCCCGCTAGGCTTACGCACATGATCAGTCCCAGCAGTACCAGCTTCACGTAAGCTGATGCCGATGGCGGGGACAGTGCGCCGCTCACCTCTTCGGGCTCTCCGGTAGTGTTGGCCATACTGAGGGGCGGGGGCTGCTCCCAGCCCTATGGGATTAGCCAGTCCGGTATTCGATGGGCCCTGGGGGACTCCATCAGTTGTCCTGTTGGGCTGCACCTGCAAATGGGGATAATGGGGGAGACGCAGACAGAGAGAGACAGAGAGATGCCGGCAGGACAGAGCCAGAGAGAAAAACGCGGACAGAGGCACAGAGACAGAGTGAGAAAGGAGAGAACAAAACGAAAATGGTGACAAAGATATAAATAGATACAAATTGAGAGGGAAATGGGGGAATGAGAATGAGAAGAGATAAGAAGAAACAGAACCAGAGACAGGGAGAGAGGGAAAGGGAAGATAGAGATAGAGACGGAGAGAGAAAGAGAGGAGGAGGAGAGAGAGACACAAGAAAAAGAGACAGTGAGAAACGGATGGAAAGAAAGGTGAGGAATAAACAGAAAGGGCAGTGTTAGTGGGTCTACGTGGTCTCCGCACTTACTCCCCAGCTGGTGTCAGGCCTGCCCCTGGCCCACTCCTCCTCCTACCCGCTCCTTGCTGGGGGAGGGGGCTGCTTCACCTCTCTGGATGTCCTCTGTTACCGGTTTCCTCCCTTGGGGGGGGGGTCTGTGGGGCGGGGGTGTTGGTGCAGCTCTTCTCCCCCTTTGCAAAGCCCTAAGGTTATGTTCTTCAAACTTTTTTGACTGCTACCCATAGTAAGCCAAACATTTTACATCATGACCTGGTACACATACACATACGTGCCCACATACTGAACCAAAAGTTTCACAAAACAGTACTGATCCTATGTGTAATGTACCCCGTTAGTTCTATTGTATTTCATGATTTTTTGTTAATGCTGGTAGCCACCCATTAAATGAGTTTTTTATTCATGATTAGGAATGTGGTTAGCATGCTCAAGAAAGAGTGGGAAGACCAGTGTGGTTGGAAAAGGGCGGGGAGGGGAGACAGTAGTAGAAAGTGAAGTCACAGAGGTGTCTGGAGCCAGACTGTTTAGGGCTGTGGGCCATAATAAGGACTTGGGTTTTTATTTTAAGTGGGGCAGGGAGTACTGTGAATATAAAGATATGAGTGTGCTTGTATGCATTCATTCATTGAAAAGTGATTTATTGAGCATCTACTGTGTGCCAGGCACTGGGGACACAGCTGTGAACCAGATAGAAAAGGATCCCTGCTCTTACGGAGCTGATATTCTAGATGATAAAGAAGATATATAGGTGAAGAATAGTAGTAGGTCAGATGATGATAAGTTCCTAAAAAGAAAAGTAAAGGAGGGAAAGGGGATAGGAAGTGCTAGGGGTGGGGGAGGTATACTTTTAGATGAAACGGACAGGGAAGGCTTCACGGAGGCAGTGTCATCTAAGCAAAAACTTAAAGGAGGTGAGAGTAAGCCATGTGGTTATTGGAGGGAAGAGAAGTCCAGGCAGAGGGAACAGCTAGCACAAAGACCCTGAGGTGGGATCACACGTGGTGTATTTGGGGAAGAGCAAAGAGGCTACTGTGCAGGGAACGGAGTGAGTGATCAAAAAGCAGTGGGAGGTAAGGTCAGAAGGGCGGTGAGGCCAGATCATGTAGGCCATGGTGAGGACTGTGACTTTTACTCTGAGTGAGAGGGGAGCCATGGGAGCAGAGGCAAGATGTGATATGACTTGGGGTTGAAAAGGATCCCCTTGCTGCTGTGGGGAGCACAGACCAGGTGGGGCAAAGGTGGAAGTAGGGAGACTACATAGGAGGCTCCTGCAGTAATTCAGGTGAGAACTAATAGCACTCTGTGTCCCTTGCCCTGCTTTATTTTTCTTCGTAGAACTTATCTCTTCTAATGCACTATATAATTTACTTAAAATTCAGTTTATTGCCTGCCTCTCCCTATTAGAATGAAAGCTCCACAAGGGCAGGGAGTAGAGACTCAGACATTCTCCTCTAGAAGAGCAGTGCATAGCACAGAAGGCCCTCAGTCAAAGGCTGTGAGATCAATTGGCTGAGGGACTAAAGGGGCTGGTGGCTCAGGGAGGGCTGCCTGGAGGCATCCAGGTGGGATTTGCTGAAAGGCAGGCTGGGCAGTACAGGAGGGGGAGGGCACAGGCCAAGCTTGTGGGGAGGGGAACAGGAGGGTTCCTGGTGTGTGTAAGCCTGGGGCTAGTGGGGGAGGAGTGTGATAACGTAACATGGTAGGTCCCAGAGGGAAGGCAGCAAGCTGGAGAAGCTCAGAACTACTGTTGGGGCTGGGATGGGCTTGAGATTGAGGGACACGGGGCTGAGTGGAGCCTTTCTACCCTCTCCCTCCCAGGAAGTCACCCCTCGGTATTGTTTCCCCACTCGCTCCAACCTGGCCTGCCACAGTCACCTGCGGCCAAGCTTTTTTGATGGTACCCCGAAGTCTCAGACACAGTGCCAATAGGCCATGAGAAGGTGCTAGGGCAGGGGCTTGGGAGAAGTGGGGTTGGTGGGCCCCCTTTCAGCCCCCTCAAGGCCTGAAAGCTCCCACAGAACTGTGGACCAGCTGACAGCTGGGTGTGTGTAAATTTGTACACACATGCACACACATACTCCTTAGCCTTGAGGGGAAGCAGGGGGAAAGCATTAGAGACAGAGAGAGATTGAATATAAAAGAGAATCAGAGAGACACACAAACAGTGACAGAGGAGAGAGGTTTGCGAGAGAGAGACAGAGACATAGGAGGGAGAAGGGGAGAAATAAACAGAGAAAGGGGAGCCGACCTTCCACACAAACAGGAAGAGATAGAAATAGAGACCAAAAGGAGAAGAGTGAAAAAAAGAGAGACACACATAGAAACGGAGTATGAGAGAGAAATAGAGACAGAAAAGTAGAGACAGAGACAGAGAGACAGAGAAGGAGGGAGAGAGAGAAAGAGAGAAAAGTGACAGAGACAAAGGGAGAGAGGGAAGGGGGAGGGAGAAAGAGAGACAAAGAGATAGGAGAGGGATAATGCCAGGAAAGAAAGAGAGAACAATAGAGAGATAAAGAGACGGGTTGGGAGAGAGGCAGAGATAGAGACAGAGAGAAGCAGAAAAAAAGATGGAGAGGGAGACACAGGGAAACACACTAAGATCCAGAAGGTGGATAATTTGTAGCCCAGAGTCTCAGTGAAAGCAAACCAAACCAAAACAAAAAAAAACCACACACACTAAAATGAAACAAAACAACACAAAACAATAGCAGCAAATGAACAAAACCCTGGCGTTGCCTGGAAAGCTGGAGCGACTCTACAAGTGAGGAGAGGGTTCTTCTGAGCCGACTGGCAGCCACAGCTTGGGCCCGTCCCAGGCTAAAAGCGTGAGTACACGCACACAACACATACACACCTGCGCGTACCCAGACGCCCTCAGAAAGATACGCAGCTACACACACGGTCACACGCATAGGCTCCTGCTATGGAGACCTACGGACAGCAACCGGCTCACGCACAGGGACATGGCCTCGCACGCATGCGCACACACTGCATATGGTCTCTGGGGCCTTCTTCCGCAGGCACAGTGTATATACCCCGTCTAAACCAGTGCATCGTCTTCAATAAAGACGTTAGTGCCCCCTAGGGGACATTTTGGAAATCTGCAGGAGCATTTTTAGTTGCCACAACGCTAGGGTGTGGGATGTCCTTCTAACATTGAGGGGTCCAGGGCAAGGATGCTGGCCATCCAGTGATGTGTGGGGCAGTCTCACACAGTCAACATGTGTCCCGAATGCCCTAGGACTTTGGGTTTGTAATGAACTGAACCTTGAACCTAACAACTCTATTTCACATATAAATACAAATTTCCCTCTAGTTTAATATAACCTGAATTACTCAGGAATATAGCTGTCAAGTAAGTCCAGAGGGGACTGCACTTTGTTTGGGGGTAGCACTTTCTTTGAGCTGTTAACTATTTCGGAAAATCTCACCCCTAGGCCTTTGCCTGTCATTTTCCTGCACTTTGAGCAAGGGGCAGTTTCTGATTTTTCCCCTTCCAAATCCACATTTACTCATAAGATGTTACAAGCCTCTAACTACCTTTTTGAATTTCCTGGGGAGTGCCATGCCCAAACATTCACATATCAAAATACAAATTACTACCTTATAAATCACTTCCTTTTAATTAATTTGTATTAGAGTTAATACAATATGCATATTGTATGAAATACTATATGGGTTTTCTTTTGAAATCATATGTGCAGAGAGATTATATTACCTAAGAACTTCATGTCTATATAGTAAAGGGGTGTTACAAAATATGTTACATAAAAGAGGGTGTTAGGTATGAGAGGGCTGACAACTGATCATATACACACACTCAGACACACACACGTGTAATGGCTCATAAACCCACAATTATAACTCCCCTAACACACACACACATACACGCACACACACAGATGAACACTCAAATCCTGACAGATAGATACACATATGCAAACCTACTCACACAGAGACTCATATATACAATCTACCTGATTATTCAAATCCTCCCACATAAACAGACCAACTTCTATAACACAGGCATGTACACGGTGGCATACCTATATCATCACATACAAATACTGTTACACACAATGACACTCAAAGTCACTTGCATATGCCATACTCACATGCACTTGAAATCTGCCACATGCATACATACACACAAACACACACATGTATGTACACACAGACAGAACCCCCCTCAGATATATTTGCATGGAGAATAAAACAGACAAGCAAAAACTGCTCACATATACACACATGTACATACTCTAACACACGAGGCTGACTGATCTAAACCCTTTCACATAAATTAGGCACACTCACCAAAACAGACATGTACATCCTGGCACAGGTACACAGATACCCATTCATGTACGTACTCACTTATGCAGAGAAGTATACCAGCTCCAACACCCCCCCCCTTGCAATGTGCAAGCACAACCAATCACAAAAAGAAAAACCGCCCAGGTATACAAACACTCCTGCACACACAGACAAGTGTGCACACACAAGCTTGCTCACATTACTTGATATACACACACCGCAGCAGGTCTACACCCAGAGACAAACCCGCATACGTGCACATACCAGCCGACTCCTTCAGGCACAGGTGGAAACATTAGCAGAGCTGTTTGGCTGGTGGGCACCTGCCATAGCAGGGAGCCAGACCAAGAGAGGCTCTAGGGGGTCAAAGAGAGGTTGTAAATGTTTAGATTGCTTCCTGTTGAAACATCCCACATAGTCTGATTATTACTTTGATTGCCACCCTTGCTCATCAGTGAGGTTTTTGGGTTTTGCCCATACATGTACAACACCTGTTTTTCTTTTTAATTTGAACTTATTTAAAATTTTCCACTTTTTTCTACAAAAATAGTTGCATGACTGTTGCTATTATTATTATTATTATTATTATTATTATTACATAGTAGCAGGTGTTCCTAAAGAGAATGTAACTATTTTGTTAATTGCCCTAATTGTTCCTTCTTTATAGAAAATCTTTTTTCCTTCTAGAACATTTCAGATATAAAAAAGTAGAGAGAGGGACGCCTGGGTGGCTCAGTCGGTTAAGCGTCTGCCTACAGCTCAGGTCATGATCATGATCCCAGGTTCCTGGGATCGTCCCACATTGGGTTCCTTGCTCAGTGGGGAGCCTGCTTCTCCCACTGCCTGCCGCTCTCCTTGCTTGTACTCTCTCTTTCTGACAAATAAAGTCTTCAAAAAAAAAATAAAAAAGTAGAAAGAGTCCTTTAATGAACTTCAGTGCACCCACTGCCCAGATTCATCAATGATCAGCCCTTAGGGTCTTGTTTTGCCTATAACCTCACCCACTTCCCTCACTTCCAGAGTATTCTGAAGCATATCTATTATACCATTCATCCATAAGTATTTCACAGTGTTTCTAAAAGGACTCTTTTAAAAACATTACAATATAATTTTTATTATTTCTTGGTTTATTTACTGATTTACTTGCAACTGGCTTTTAATATTAAAAATTAGCCAAATCTGATTCTTCGTGGGATTTCATAATTTATTTCAGAATAAATTATTACCTTTTGTTTTTAGGTGAAAATATTTGTCAATAAAAGAATAAAGCCTGTGGTTGAACTGAATTGATTCATTAAAGGGAAAGTTAGGCCTTTAAGGCTTTGTTTCCAGAGTGCTGTTCTCTTAAGAATGCAGAAGACCTCAGGGCACCTGGGTGGCTCAGTTGGTTAAGCGACTGCCTTCGGCTCAGGTCATGATCCCAGAGTCCCGGGATGGAGTCCCGCATCGGACTCCCCGCTCAGTGGGGAGTCTGCTTCTCCCTCTGACCCTCTTCCTTCTCGTGCTCTCTATCTCTCATTCTCTCTCTCTCAAATAAATAAATAAAATCTTAAAAAAAAAAGAATGCAGAAGACCTCAAATTTGCTTTTTTAAAAAATCAGTTTTCAGAAGTCACTAAGATCTGCTGGCCCCTTCAATACTTCATATTCAAGTAGATTTAATTTTTAAGATATTTCTTTTCCCATCAAAATGGACATTTTGATTAAAGCTGGAAAATCAGGAGACTCACAAGACAAACACAGTCTCCCTCCAAAAACTCCAGGATCTCCCTAATTTAAGCAGTTTAATAAGGATTGTCCCAAATTTGGATCCAGCTGCCAAGTAAGCCCTCTCATCCGCAGCCTATATGTCCGATTTGTGTGGAAAAGTTATCAAGAGAAACTTCACACTGGGTGTTATACGCAACTGATAAACACTACATCTGAAACTAATGATGTACTATATGTTGGCTAACTGAATTTAAATTAAAAAGGTTAAAAAAAAAGAAACTTCATTTCCCAGTAGGCTATGATGGTCAACTGGCCATGAAACACTCTCACAAAGAGAAATATTTGGACTTTTAAAAGCATCTCAAAATGCAAATTAAGAAACCTGGCTCTTTTATGAGATGGGTTAGAACATTTTTTTTTCTTTTTAATTTGGGTTAGAAAATTCTTAGATGGAGCTCAACAAGCTAGTGACAGGATTGCATGATTAACAAGTAAAGCTAAGATGCCCCTCCCAGTAGTATCTCAGCGTTCTGCCAGGAACGTTCTAGCAGTCTGCCAGGAAATTGTCCACATCATATTTGGGACCAGTGAAGTAAAAAGAATAGGAAAGAGGTCACTTTCAATTATTGCTATTAGGAGACACAGTGATGATGGGTCAAAGGACCACTGAAATGACACTAACTCAGAAGACTGTTGAATCAAAAGGGTTTTCATTTTATATTGATGCATCTCTAGATGTTGATTAATTGCGCTCAGTTCATAGTACTAGTCAGAAAGCCCGAAGAGAAATGCAAGAAGCACCAAAATAAACTAAGGTTGAAATATTCAAAGTGATACATGAATATTTTCTAATATCATGGATACTCTGCAGTAGTCTGTGGACTACTGAGATGGCATGAAGTTTACATCTGGAATTTGTTCTGAAACTGCCGAGATTCATGCACCAAGGAGCACTCACCTATAAAAGTTTACCTGTGGGTCTAATTTCCACAGTAAATGATGCTAGGTGAATTTCATTAAATCCAAGGTACTACCCACCCGTGTGTTGAATTTCTGTGAAGCTTTGGGATCAGTACACTTTTCTCTATTGTTTTAAACTTAAGTGTGTAAGGATTCTGTAAAAGATTTATGAGCTAAAAGAAAAATTTCAGCATTTTTTTGTGAATGATTCTCATTTGCAGATTTGATGCTTACTCATTTCAACAAATGGCTCTTTGAGCACATGAATAAAATTACATCAAAAAATTTTAAGACACTCAAAAATATATGAAAGTATACTGTCAAGGTTTATGGATTCAAAGCCAAACTTCAACTTAGAAGTAAGGTCATGTATGGTTCCCTGGGTGATAATTAGTTAGTGTTATTAAGTTGACTACTAAAAAAGACTTATTAAGATGAGTAGAGTAATGTCTGTGTCTACTTAGGGCAAAAGTTTCATCAATTATTTTGAAATACTCAAAATGAACATTTTTGGTTGGATTCAAAATTCATGTGCACTTGTTACAAGAAATTTCAACATCACATTTGATTGAAAGAAAAGAAGTGTTAGATTTAAAAAAGGATCCTATCTTTGAAGCACAAAATTCAAAGACTATGAATTATCCAAGTTCTGATTATTGATAAGAAAGGAGTTTTAACCAGTAACCATCCCCCCAAAAAACCTCTTTGGCCATTTGCTGCCACCTAGTCATGCAAGCAGTTTCCTGCTGATGGTGACCACCAAGAGACAGAAGAGATCATTAGCCATTTCAAGCGTAAAACCTGGGTCTCTGCCTGGCCATGGCAAAAACAAGTGAGTTATCAAAGGGAGGTGAAACAGGGATGAATAAGCAGTTAGTTGTTGCATTTCTTAAGAAAGGTTGGCATGGTACAAAAGTGTCAGAGAAACCAAAATGGTACCTGATGACCCCAAAGCTAATGCTTTTAAGGTGAGCTTTGCTGACCTGCAGAATTATGCAGCTATGTGTCACACATTCAAGCTAATTACTGAGGACATTAAGGCAAATGGTACCTGCACAACCTCCACGGACTTGGTCTTACCTTTATCACCAGGCTTTCCAAGATCAAGAAGTAGCAGGTCACAATAGAAGTTTATATCTGTGTCAAAAGTACTAATGGTTATTTGTTTCATTTTTTTTAAAGATTTATTTATTTTGACAGAGAGAGAGATAGAGAGAGAGGGACAGCAAGAGAGGGAACGCAAGCAGGGAGAGTAGGAGAGGGAGAAGCAGACTCCCCACTGAGCAGGGAGCCCTATGCGGGGCTCGATCCCAGGACCCTGAGATCATGACCTGAGCTGAAGGCAGACGCTCAACGACTGAGCCACCCAGGTGCCCCTGTTTTCTTTGGGTTTTTACCAAGAAATACAATAACTTGATGTAGAACCTTGATGCTCAGCACAAACTACTTTACCAAATCATGATGGAAATGTCCATAAAGGAGTCAAATTACCCCAAAATAAATAAAGACAGTCACAACCAAAGGCTCAGGAGTGGGCATGAATGCTGACCATTACAAATTTGCACAAGTGAATAAAAGTTATGTTTCCAGAAGTGAGTTCAGTGTGCTATGAAAAAATCCTGAAAATGTTTTACTTGAAAGTTGTATACAAAAAAGTTGTATACAAATTCAATTACTTAATAACTCCCCTAAAACTTTGCATTTTTTGTTTTCTTCATCACAATTTGTATAATGTAAAGAAATGTAAGAAATTTCTTTTCGCCAAACCCCAGTACCCCTAAATCCTCTTCAGTTTACTCCAACGTGCCATATAGATATTTCACTTTTTCCATGTGCCAGGTTGGGAATGCCCTAAGACATTCACATCCAGTCACATTGCATAGACACACTAGCACACATGGACAGATAAGTGTACACAGGAACACATGTACATCAATATTCAAATTTGCACTCACATCCAGACTTACACCAGCTGATAAGCACAATCAGGTGTATGTGTACAGGTACACACACACACACACACACCCCTCCTCTTCTACACAGAAAGTTAGGCATGTGTGTAGGTACCCACCTACCGGCAAATCATGCAAAGATATACAAAACACACACAAACATACACACATACAGATAACCACCCTTCAATAGAAATATAGGCCTAGGCAGAGAAAAACTCACCACACACATGGGCACATGCAGACACATACACATACAAACCAAATCATATGGACCTGGGGTGCCTGGGTGGCTCCGTCAGTTAAGCGACCAACTTTTGATTTTGGCTCAGGTCATGATCTCAGGGTCATGGGATTGAGCCCCACTGGGGCTCTGAGCTGGGCGGGGAGGCTGCTTAAGATTCTTTCTCTCCCTCTGTCCCTCCTCCCCCCGCTACTGCACTCTCTCTCTCTTAAAAAAAAAACCAAAAACAAATCATATGGACCTACATGCTTTCAGACACAATCATGCATGCATAGACATAAGAACTGACATTCACATACAGGGTGAGTCCGATTCACATCCTATAGATCCAGGCCCTCCCCCACCCCAGGCTCTTACATTAAGAGATTATAATCCACTATTTTATGGAATACTACTCAGTCATCAAAAAAAAAAAAAAGAAATCTTGCCATTTGCAATGACGTGGATAGAACTAGAAGGTATTATGCTAAGTAAAATAAGTCAGTCAGAGA